CCCTCCCCTCCGCCCACCAGCCGGGAGCCGCGTCCTGGGGGCCCCGACGGGAGGCTGCGACTTGCTCCTCCGGAGACAGCAAGTCCACTCCCACCGCCCTCGGGCGCGGAGGGCTAGGAAGGTTTCTGGAAGCTTCAGCAGGAGACAAGCTGCTGACAGGTCCGCGAAACACAGCAAAGCACTCCTCCTGTTCGTCGTAAAACGCAAATCGTTTTTGGAAAGGATAAAAAAAAATCACACATCAACTATCTCCAAAAGCACCCTACTTTTAGCAAAGAAGCAGATGGGTCTTTATAAATTCCCGGTGGTTAGAATCCAGCCCGCGTCCACGTGGTCAGTGGAGAGATGGTTGGGGTCCCGGGGAGGGGCTCTCTGGTCGTCTGACCCAGGGCGGGAGCAGCAGTGAGAGGCCACCGACGTCAAGGTTGTTGGTGGAAAGAGAAAAGAAGTTGAATGTCAGCAAATAGGGAACAGAAAAATAGGCCGCTAATCCTGTCAACTGATAGTTGACCAAGTATGAAATGGTCGTCTCTTGACCCTCCACCACATGAGTCTTTAATCATAGTTGTTAATTTTTTGTTTATCAAATAGGTGATGAAAAATGCTTGCTTCCTTCGTTCGTGTTTTTCAAATTAGGAGGGATTCTTGTTGGATTTTAGTGAAGGGTGCTTTGTGTTATTATTATCACTTGCTTATTATTATGGGAAAGTTACAGAATGAGCCAAAGTTCAGAGAATATGAGAAACCCCCCCCACACACACACACAGACTACTTAGTAAAGAATCTTGTATCATCCGCACCTCCACCCCCTGCTCCTGCACACCCACCCCAGATTATCCCAAAGCAAACCCAACATATCATGCATGCTGTTTCTTCCCAACTGCTTCACTGTGTCCCTCTTCCAGACAAGGATGTGCTCTTACGTTTATATTACATACACATCACATACGGCCACACCTAAAACCCAACACTATTCCTTGGTATCAAATTCCATCTGTGTTCATATTTCCCAGGTTGCCTGAGATCTGACATTTTATGAAGTCCCTTGCGTGACCATTGTCCACCATCAAATAAGAGCTGATGCTACTGAGAACTCCGGGGACAGAATCAGTGACTTCCTTTGGGGCCACAGGCAGTGCAGGATACAGTAGGTTTGAGAACAACCTCAAAGATGCAGATTTTGAACTTGGGGGCCATGGTGGGAGCGGGAGGGGCCTGTCATGAGGCTCTGCAGGAAATGGACAGCCAAGCTGTAAGGAACAGGCCACATCCACCTGTTCAGCCAAGAGTCCAGACTCACCCAGACCATTTTCCAAACGCTGAATGCAGGACCAGAAACGCCGAATGCAGGACCAGAAACGCCGAATGCAGGACCAGAAACGCCCTTCCTTTCAGGAAGGTTAGAGCCAAGAAGCGCACCAGAAACCAGCGAGGTGGGTTCTGTCTCTCCCTCACTGGCTCCTTCTTCTTGCTCTGCCCCTGCCCATCTCTCTTCCTGCTCTTCACCCCAGCTGGGACCCACTCACTGTGCCTAACAGTCAGTGGGTGGGTCTGTAGTTGTCAATGTCTGGGTGCCCAGGAACCACTGGCAGCAGCAGGAAAAATCACACATGGCAGCAGGAAAGAAAAATGTCCATCTTGATGGTGTCGAGTGGACTCCACAGCCAAACTGCCTGAGTCAGAACCCAGCTCTGCCACTGTCCACTTACCCCAGAGCCTCATTGTCCTCGTCTGCAATAAGATGTCATACACTCGCTCAGAATGTGCAGTGTAGGAGGGGACAGGATAGCTGAAGCTTTGCTTCGTTTTCCTCTGAAAGCCCCAAGTCAAAGATGCAGAAGCCATAGTCATTTCCTGTTGGCAGGGCGAGGAATGAGCACAACCTGTCTGGAAGGCAGTGTGCATGTCTGGGGACCCAATAATCTCAGGTGAGGAAGTTCATCTTAAAAACATTCTTTTAAGAATGGAAAATAAGATAACAACACTAACGTGTATTGCAACAATGTCTGTAATAAGTGTGGAATCATAAACAATGTGACTCCTTTCATCTATTCACTAGATACTGACTGAGAATTTGTCATCCTGCTGCTGTTCTGGACTCTGAGGGCAGGGCAGTAAATATTGCACCAGACCCCAACCGCCCCCCCCCTAATCCGGCCCCAAGCTGAGGTCCACACAAGTAAGCAAAAAAGTACAGATGTTGAAAAGACATCATAGAAAGACAGGTTTTAGAGAAATGAAGAAAGGCTACTTGAGATAAGTAGATAAGCTTTCTCTCACATGCTGCTGGCTTTGAGTTGAGGCTGGGAGGCGTAAAATAGCCTGCCTTGCAACAAAAAGCTGCGGGAGGAAGTATTCAAGGCAGCAGGAACAGCATTTCGAAAGCAGAGGTGGGAGACTGTCTGGGGCACCATCTGTGTGCTGGATGCTGTTCTCGGTGACCTCAGCACACATTTAAGCACTTGATACACATTAGCCCATTTCATCTTGCTAACCACCATATGAACTGGTTGTGTTCTTATACAGGAGGAAATAGAGGCACAGAGAGCCTGAGTCTCAGGCACTCAGGCCATCTGACACCAGATCCCTTGTTGCAACTACACCACTCTGCGATTTAAAGACCTACGGTGTAGCTGCAGTCATTAAGATTGTGGTGTTGGCGGAAAGAGAAAAAATAGTTGACTGTCAGAAAATAGAGAACAGAAAAATAGCCCTGCGCAAATCCTGTCGACTGGTATTTGACCAAAAGCAGAGAAAAATTCAGAGGAGGGCGGGGGAATGGTCTTTTCAATATGGCGCAGGAACAATTGAATGTCCATGGGTCAAAAAATTAAAGTAAGACCCAACCTTTACTCCAGGACACCAAATTAACTCAAAACAGTTTATAGGTCCACGGTAGGACACCAAGTTAAAGGCTGGCAGAAAATATTTCCAAGAACCTCTCTCATAAAGGACTCAGATCGAGAGTTTATAGCATTCTCAAACTATAACAGCAAGAGCGTCAAACGAGAAAATGAGAGGAAGACATGAAGGCACATAAGAGCAGAACACAGCGGCAAACAGGGTCCTAGAAGAGGTTCACCATCACCAGCCACTAGGATAAACAACGTGAAGTCATGATGGAATATTAGTGCATATCTGTTTAAGCAGCTAAAATAATAAATAGTGACTATTCCACGTGTAAAACTGTGAAGAAACCAGATCTCCTATGTGACATTGGTGATATTAGGGAAATGGTAGCATCACTCTGGAAAATATTAATGCCATAAATGGTAAAAAGAACGAAGCAGCTGCTATAGAAGTCACATTCTGAATGTTTAAACATTTAACTTTTGTGACAAGTGTATATAAACTTTTGTTAAAAAAAATACCAACTGCAATCTTTGGGAGATCTTAAGAAGTTAGAAA